TGTGAGAAAGTTAGTTTTAAAAGGTTTTACACAGAGTAAGGTTTACTTTATTTTATTATCAGTTGTGTATCTGACAGTATGAGTTATCTGTGTGAACTGTTGTCTCCTCAGCTGTTGAGTGTCAGTGCTGTAGTGCTGGCACACTTGTGTGTCTATTACTTCATGAGCAGTCAGAACGAAGAGGTAAGTGTGTGATGGAGATTGTAGCAACAGTAGTATAAAATTTGTAGAGTTATATCTAGGTCTGCTTCATCGAGATATCAGTGAAGGTAGTTCCTGTAACTCAACGGTTCTGAACCTATGGGTCGGGACCCCTTTAGTGTCAAGTGTCACTTATTGAATATTGGGGAGCTGAAGCAGCACACTGACTTGATTGCTTGCCGGCAAGCCCAGCAGTCATGAGTTCCAGTCCTCATCATAGTAGATTTGTTTAAAACATTGACCTGTGCTTCCAGGTCAGTGCAGCCTAAAATGGGTACCAGGAAATATTCTGTGAAGCAAAGATTGTCAGTTTAATGTTGACTTCATCTCCGATCGAAAGTCAGTTTGTCTTTAAAAATATGGGGCTAGCACCATATGCCTGATGATCCTTATGGCATGAAAAATATCTTTTGACTTTTTCTTACTGCGAAAGCATTAAACCTTCTCCTTGCGAAAGCATTAAACCTTCTCCTTGCGAAGGCATTAAACCTTCTCCCTGCGAAGGCATTAAACCAGCATTGCTGCATCGGCCACTCCATGATAAAGACTAGTAAATGGCACTGGTTGTGTTTGTACCTGTGCAGCTTTTAATACAATGGTCATATCTATTGGGGGGTAGGGGGGGGGGGGGAACAAGCAGGTTTCAAGCAATTCTGAAATTGAGTGCATTTGTAATTGTAATAATCTGTTTATTATTAATTTTTTTCATTTTATTTATAAATAAACGAATAATCTATGAAACAGAATGCTAAGGACATTTTTTGTTTTCATAAGCAGTTTGTATATCTACAGTTAAAAATCTAACTAATGTGATAAAAGGCATTTATAGATTATGAATACATTCTGACCAAAACACATCTACATACTGTCTGTTTCACTTGTTGCAGATTCTATTGTCCTCCTCTTTTTTAATCAATCATACTTTGTTATTTTGGCAGATTGTGGAGAGGCATGATCGCCCATGTCAGTCGACATGACACTTGATGATGATGATAAAATGGTTGCATGTTTTGGGAGAAGGGGGTGGAGGGAGTATGAGGTTGCCTGCCTTTGTTGCTCAAGGATTTCCAAGTTAAAGGCTGCTGTACCATTGTATAAGGGGATGCACCTCAGCTTGAGCACCATTTGTCATTCAGATGGCAAAGAAGATGACACAGTAATAAGGTTCTTCAACAAATGCCTAGTTACATCGAATGTGGTGGCCACAAGACACACATCTCACAGGCATAGTGCAGTTATCTCACACTGACAAACAGTAAAGAACAAGATATCAAAATGTGGCAATGAAATATTTTTTATTGAAAATGAATTGAATCAACAATAGAGGAAATAAAAGGTTAACAGTAACTGGGATAGAGAAGTCTGAAGTAACAAATGTCTAAAACAGAAGGAGTTTGACTGAAAGTTAGGTCTTATTTGGGCAATCTAGCAGATCATCATCATCATCCCCTAACACATTGGGTCACCAGTTTCTCTTGACTGTCTGATCAGCACTCTTCATCTTTGGCGGTCAGTTGCGATGGACTTCATGGTTGCATGCCTAAGGCTTGTCCAGTCAGTCAGGTTCTGTAACCAGGTCTTTCTTGGTCTGCCTCTTCTCCTCTTTTCCTCTACTGAGCCCTGCAGTTTTGACTTTGAGAGGCCATTAGATCTTATTACATGTCCATACATAGTTGCCAGTGTGCTGTATAATTTTATGGCGAACTTTCTCATTTGTAATGTGGTCTCTGTATGATATGCCAAGAATTTTTCCGAAACATCGCATTTCTAATGCCTGTATCTTTCTTTCAAGTTTGGCTGTTAAATTCCACGTTTCGCAGCCATATGTAAATGTACTAATAGCTAGTACTCTCAGCAATCAAATCTTAGTTTTGCATGAAATGTTTTTAGATTTCCATAATATCTGCTACTTGGCAACGACTGATGTTGTCTGGGAAATCCTAGAAGTCTAGCAGATGGCTGGGATATAATGAGTTGAATATAAACTCCCCATGCGGGTTCAAAGGCCCCATCTTTTGGGAAAATAAAAGCAAACGACCCACTTCTTCTTATTAATATTTAATGTTGAATTAAGAATCGACATCACAGCACTCAGGACATTCCCATAAGTGCTCCGTCTGCATCTTCAGCAGGAAAAGTGGAGTTGCAATTCCGATCATACCAGTGACAGTCTGTATTTTCATCTCACCTTTCACCTGAATGTTAACACTCCATAACCAACATTTTGTTAAAGGCATCAGTTTAAAGAGTGAACACAGAAGAAGTAGAAAGTGATTAATGTTTTTATAATAACTGACTTATTCTCTCAGTGGTAACTGATTCTGCTGTCATATTTCCAGGCTGAGGAACTTTTGAAAAAGATTTCAAAAGAAGAGGAACAACTAGCCTATGAAGATCCAGATAAGAAGATCTGCCATTCGTTTATTGTGAACATTGTTATAGGGTAAGGAAGCTTTTTGTATGTTTACTGAGTTGTGCCTGCTGTTCTGTTTTACAAGTAGCAGAATGGGGTCCTATGACTTCTTCTTCTGTGTTCGACATCAGTCATGCGAATTATTGAGTCCCATCTGGAACACAGATAGGATTGTGCGTTTAAGGTCGCCACCAGTTCCCCATAGCTTCTCTTGCCATGTAGCTCCCTTGGGCCAGATGCAGTCTTTGCTGGGAGAGGTTAGGGCAGTCCTGCAGTATGTGCTCAGGGGTCTGTCTTTCTGCTCTGCAATCATAGGCAGCAGATTCTTTTATGCCTATCCTGTGCAGGTATCCTGTCCGAAGTCTACAAATTAATGGGTTTTTGTTTGTTTGTTGAGTTTGTTTATGCTATCACTCTCTGGTCTGTAATCTCCATTCTGCCTTCTCCACTCCCGATTGAAAGACTGCTTTAGCACTGTTTTGGTTTCCTTGTAGCTGTGTGGGGGATGAGATTGTAGAAGATTACTCCCAGCTTTTGCCAACTCATCTGCTCTCTCATTTCCTGGAACACCTCAGTAGGCTTGTATCCACTGCAAGACCAGTTCTGCTTCCTTGGAAAGTAAGGTCCCATGACAGAAACTACTCTGTGACGTTGTAAATAAGGAGCTTTCTAATGCCATTGGTGCATCAAGCTTACGGTAAAAGTAAAGCACCATCAGGTCTATTAGGCATATTGGGCTAGACCACGGCACTCGGTGTGTGTTGTGGACAACATCATGCTGGCCACCTTGACTTCCTAGGACTCCATATGGTACCCTTTTGAGGCTGGGTCAACCTGGGAGTCAAAGTCATTTTTGACAAAAAAAAGTCAGGCTCCGTCAGGACCCAAACCCGTGACCATCGGATCTGCAGGTGAGCATCTAGCCACTACACCATGACGGCTCCCCAAGTATATGATGCTAGACATATTTTTTATAGACCAACCGGCACTTGATGGGTGATTTGGTCAACATTGGGTGCCTTTACTTCCAAGAACATATTCTGGTACCAGTTTAGGCAGGGTCGATCAAGGAATTACAAGGGGGGATCCATAAGTCCTCACCGTGACTGTGGGCTGATGAGAGCCAGAGGATTTCTGGACACTGCATCTCTGGAGGTCACTAAATCCCAGATCCTGTGCCAGCTCAATTTATGCTCATTTGAACAAGGACCTGTGGCAAGAGTCTTGCACCAGACAGCTGGCGCCCGAGGTGAGGTATGGAGTAACTCCTCATACACATCACAACTGACGTCACCATAAATTGATATTGAATATATTGAACTATAAACATGACAAGTGACATTTTTCTCAGTTACTTCTTTATAGTCAGGGTAATGACCTATGGATCACCCTTGATACGAATGTTTGTTTCAAAATGTGGATTCAAACATAGACCTACTGGTCAGCAGGCAGGCATCTAGTCACTGCACCACCTTTGCTCCAATGTCTTTATAGTTGGATGCTCTCGAAAAAAAAAAACAACAGAGTCTTTGTCATATTGATGATCTTATTTCTCTCTTAGAGTATATTTGTTTCAGCAGCCATAATGATTTTTCTGGGTTTCTCATCAATTCTTGACAGTTAGAAATTTTTCTTTTGCATCGGCAAAGTATTCGGGAGCATACAAGAACAATGGCTAGATACTTGTTTGCTGGCCCAAAGACCTTGGGTTTGAATCTGCATCAGGATAAACATTTTGTGAATGGCCTGGACTCCCAGCTTGACCCTACCTTAAATAGGTACTAGGAAATGCAGACATGCTTCCTTCATTTACTGCCTTCCTGGCTATTTTTGTGGGATGTTGTAGTCTTGTTATGAGATGATCCTTGTTCCTAGTTCACAGGTGGTACCCCTCAACCAGGCCTGTCCAGAGCAGCTCTGTAATGCTGGTCAGCCCCCAAGAGATGGCAACCGTTCCAAAAGCAGTGGGAAGCTACTGAACATAAAATTGCCAAATAAAAAACACAAATAGTGAGCAAAAGCTGTTGTTGGTTTACAACTTTCTTTAAAAGAAATGCAATTGTCTGTTGGCGTTCACTAGCTATAAATTCCAGAGGAAAGTCCTGGTTGTTAGTCCAATTCTAGACCTTAGCTTTTTGCCGTTGCCAGGACCTGAGTTTTGCAGGCGTATCATTTTTACAGGTCTGGCTTATTTGTATATAGACTGTTTTTTCCTGGCCTCTTGGCTAGATGCACTCTGGCTGTGAAGGAAACACATCTAAATAGTCTCTTTTATGACTTGCTTGATGTGTATCTGTTCCTTCTCTTCCACCAAAAATGGTTCTCCAGAACCCAAACAGGAAGATATGGAGCTAACTTTTATTATTTCTGTTTTCCTCCATTTCAGCACCCTGTATTGCGCCAAAGATAAACATGAATTTGGCATGCCTTTTGTTATAAAAAGTTTGGAGCCATGCAACAAAAAACTGGGCACTGACACATGGTTCTATGCCAAGAGATGCTTCCTGTCCTTGATTGAGAACCTAGCCAATCACAGGATTGTGATTGAAGACTCAGTCATGAAGAATTGTAAACATTGTCTGGAGTTATGTGAATGTAAGTTGTCTCTTGTAGACATTTTTATTTGTTTTTTAAGACGGCAGTTTATTTTAGTAGAATGGTGTGTGGTTCATCATCATCATATAACAGATCCTGTACAGAACACCACTCATCACAGTCTGCCTGAAAGAAACTTGATCTCTCGCCAGACCCCCCCCCCCCCCCCCCCCCCACCCCCCCCCCCCCCCCCCCATGCACTTTCATTTCCAATATGTCACTTATATCATATGTCAGTCTCCGTGTTAGTCAGCCTCTGCCATTCCTTCTTGGTACTATGCTGTCTGTTATTGTTTTTTTCCTATCCGTCACAGCACTTGATGTGACCAGAATATTACAGCTTTCGGTTTGTGGTTATTTGGCATACATTTCATGATGGAATAATTTCTTGTCTTTTAGTCAGCACACTTAATTTTCCGTCTCCATCTCTTTTTCTGTCTCTGTACGTATCAGCCTTTCCTTGGGTGTCTCTATGTATGTGTATTTCTCGATAACTTGTGCGTGTAGAGTCGGTGTCGTTCACTGCATATCTCTGAGTAAATGCATCACACAACCAGTGTTGATTGGTCTGTAAAATATTATTCTTAATATCCTTATGTTTTATGCACCACTGCATTGACAAAGGGTATTTTGCTTACTTTACTTGTGTGGATGGGTGTACTGTTCTGTCTCTGTGCTCTCCTTCTCTGTGTCTTCCTGTCTCTCCCCCCCACTCTCTCTCTCTCTCTTTATCAACTCTCTCTTTCTCTCCATCTCTTTCATCTCTGTGTTTGTTTCTCTGTCATCTCTTAGCCTAAAAAAAGTATTATTGCATGGATGCTATTGTCCACTAGGTGAAGTAAAGGTCCCTTTTCCACACCTATCATTTATAGACCAATCAGCACTTGGTGGGTAACTTGGTCAGCATCATGCCGGCTGCGTTTACTTCCCTGGACTGAACCTGGTACTCACTGAAGGCTGGGTCGACCCAGCGATATTGTCCATGTTGCCCATTAAATGCCAGTTGGATGGATTCGGCACCATATACCTAGTTCATCCTAGGGTGTGATAAGGGGCCTTTTACATACTTAACTACAGCATTGTATCCTTTCCACAGTGCATGGTCAGAATGTAAAAGCAGTCATTGAACAGCCTCCAGAGGAAGAGCCCATGCATCCTGGCAGAAACACTGTTGCCTTCGAGGCTCGTCTGCTCAAAGCACTGCTGTTACAGCTAAGCTAGATGGGCACTCGCAGTAGTACATTTGTGAAGTTATATGTTGATGTCTTGTTGAATGAAAAAAATAAAGTGAATATTTGCTGCAACTGGTTGTAGGATGGTTGTATTAGCACATTTGTGAAGTTATATGTTGATGTCTTGTTGAATGAAAAAAATAAAGTGAATATTTGCTGCAACTGGTTGTAGGATGGTTGTATAAGCACATTTGTGAAGTTATATGTTGATGTCTTGTTGAATGACAAAGTAAAGTGAATATTTACAGCAACTGGTTGTAGGATGGTTGTATTAGATCAGCCATAAAGAGTCTGCTCAGATCACTGCTGCTACGTCTCAACTAGACGGGCACTAAGGGTAACATGTGTTTGGATTTATGTTGATCTTATTGAGGATGATTCTTTGAAGTTGACATTTACCATCCAGGGATGTATGATGGTATCATCTGTGACATAATTATAAAGCAGGCAATGTTAGATTATTTCGTCAAACCTGTGACTTGCTACATCCAGTTTTGAAATACACAACAAATAATTTCAGGTTTGCTTGTTTGCTTTCCCTTTGTTCCCATTCTGTATGCAAGGCAGCAGGATTGTGTGTCTATTCTTCTGACTCCTTCCACCCCCCTCCCCCTTTCCCAACCCAATTATTTGTCTAAAACATTTGTAGTGATGTGAGTGCGTGTTCTGAGGAGTTCCCCAATGTTTCCTTCCTAGTTTGGAGAAGGGGGGTGCTAAAGGGGGTCTGAACCCCACCCAGTTTTGTTCCCAGTGGTGAAGAGGGCGTGGTTACAGGTGAGACTGGGCCTCCCCCTCCATCCAGATTTACGTTAAGTTATTTTTTGTTTTGTTTTGTTTGGGGTGGGTGGTGGGGGTGGCTGATAATAATAAAATAATAATTATTATTATTTGCTGTGCCAGTTTGTTTTTTAGACAGACACAACAGTTTATTCTTGTTCTCCCCCCCCCCCCCCCCCCACCCCAAGTGGGGCCCGGAACCAACATGGGTTTGAAACATCTCTCCATTGGCAGTGAAGTAACATTCTCCGCCTATGTTGCTGACCCATAGATATTGTTTATTACACGGGGAATCTAATTCAGGGGCACAGACACAGGGAAAATATTGAGGGTTGTGTGTGGCCTGAGGTCATTTGAAAATCGCCTGTAAATAAAGGACCCTTTTCCACACCTTGAGGCGTATTGGAATTATGAGGCTTAACCTGTATTTTATAGACCAATCGGCAGTTGGTAGGTGATGTGGACAGCATCACGCGGACCGCCTTTACGTCCCCATGACTCCGTTTCGTACCCATTCAGAGCTGGGAGCCAAGACCATTACCGTCCGGACCCGAACCCACTGCCTGCCGATTCGCAGATGAGCGTCTAGGCCCCACACCACGGCGGCTTCCCTGAGCACTTCAATGACTACGCTTTAGAACATTTCTTTCTGTCAATGAAATGACCCTTTATTTGACGGCAGTGGCGCAATGGGAATATAATGCTAGATGTGTTTCACAGACCAGTCGGCATTCGGCGGTTGATAACTTTCATCATCGTGCCGATTGCCTTCATTTCCCTGTGTCATACCTGCTTTCCATTTAAGGCGGGGATGTCTGGGAGCGAAAGTCAGCTGTGAAGAAGAAGAAAATGTCTCTCTGGCTAGAGAATCGAATTAAAGACATTCAGGCCTACAGGCAAGGGTCTGGCTATGATGCCACTGCCGCTCTGGTCATGAAACAAAGTGCTTGATTAAATAACCAAGTTTTGGACTTTGGAATAACTTGCTGTTGACAGACAACTGTTCTCAGACACAGTGTCTCCTTCCCCGGTACACACGGGACCAAGCGAGGACAGAGCTGAAATAATTAAAGTTGGACGGGGCTAGACTAGACTGGTGGATAATTGACGCTAATCCGACTGCGTGACGGAGGAGTAAAGCCCAGAGAACCATGACTATGTTGTCTTCAAGGTCAAGATAGGAGACAACCAAATTCATGTGAGGACAATCAGCTGAGGTACCTTGAAATGGCTGCTGCATCGGAGGATTAGGCACGCATTAGAATGGCCAGTGTGCAATGTCGTTTATCGTCATGGCGGCTCATAACACCAGAGACTTCCTCTCAACTATGACATCTTTTTCTTCAGTATTCCGAGCCCTTGAGGTTCATTGCTGCAGATATCGTCTGCCATCATTAATCTCTGTGAGTGGCTTTCTCTTTCTAATGTTTTTGTTTAGGCTCCCTGTATATACTATCTGAATAGTTTTCTTTGTCTGCCTCTTGGTCTACTTCCATCCAACTCACCATCGGAATTAGAACTCTTCGCTTGCTGCTGAAGATAGGGACTGAGCACTTTTGGGAGTGTCCCGAGTGCGGTGATGTCGATTCTCAATTCAACATTCCATCCAACTCTTGTAAATCTACGCTGTTCTCTCTCTCTCTCTCTCTCTCTCTCTTTCTCTCTCTCTCTCTCTCTCTTCCCCCCCCCCCCCTTCTTTTATTTGCCATTTTATCTGTATGTCTCAACCAGTGCCGTCTCTTAACCCCTCAGTGATTAGTGGTGACTTAAAACAGATTATGAATTTTGTTGTTGCTTTTTACTCTCCATTCAGTTTGCATCTTTGGTGGTTGCAAAGATTAGTCGCAAGACTGTTCTAAAAGAAAGTGTAGTAAGGCATCGTCTCTTTTAGTTGTACTCCCAATTTCAGAGCCATGGGCTTATATGTCAAGGTGCGAGACAGAGCATTTGATTTTACCGGATGTTGCAAGTAAAGTAAAAAGTAAAGATTTCTTTTCCACGACTTTAGGCGTATAGGGCTAGACCTATATGTTTAGAGAGCAAACCCACGACCTTCTGCCAGGGAGCAAACCCACAACCTTCTGATTCGCACGCGAGCGGATAGACGCTATGCCACGGCGACTCCCAGATGATGCAAGGAATAGTGTATACTTTTTGTTTCACTTAGTATTTTTGATTGTTTTTCGTCCTCTACTATGGTGGAGCAGTGAAGTGTGTACCTAAGTACTTGTATGTTTCCGCTCTTTTGATAGTCCTATTATCTGTTTGTTTGTGGCCGGAGTTTTTAAAAAATACATTACCTCTTTAATTAAAAACATTACTTTGTTTATTTAATGGCAGCGAAATTTCACAAGCCTTTGAAAATAGTTAATTATTACTAAAGTTTTCTGAAGGAACACAAATTTACTGACATTCGCGCAATTACACAAGACTAGCCATGGCTGAGGAGGGAGGGGGGGGAAGGGGTTGGGGGGGGGGGGGGGGGTAACATAGTGCTCACAAATCAATTATCCATACTGTGACGATAGGTGGCGCCGAAATTCATACTAGTCTGCGACGCACAAGTATGTAGACTTGGTTAGAGGTTAAAAAGTAAGAATAATTACTTGACGAATACCACGCTCAGAAGCTGTAGACAAATCTCTATATATCTTTATTTATAATGTGGGGAAAATTTATATTATAATCTGTCTGAGTCGGGAAAACAAGTGGCACGTTTATGGAAATTTAAAGGGGACTGACTGTCTGAAAGGAGGAGAGGGGTGGGGGTTGAACTGATACTGACACATTTTTAAATGCGTCTATTGTTTTTTAATGCCTGAAATAAATTTACTAAAACGCTTTCCATGTCAAAGTATTTTTGTTTGCAGTCGATTTTTATTTACAGTAACATCGCTGATTTTTTTCTCTTCTGCTCAGAACCAGTGTACTTATTTCACAAGGATTCGTTCTTGTTGCTGGTCTTTCTTCTCTAGCCTTGACTTTTTCAGCACTGAGTAAATCTTCAGTCCTATTCACGTTTCGCGGCCCAGACTTTCTCTGTCTGATCTAGGTCAGATGGGTGTCAGCTGTACTGTTTTCTTCGAAAAAGAGTCTCTCGTGGAACCTAGCCTCAGGCTGTGGGTAGGGAGGTTTGGGTTAGTGTCAGTTTTAAATGTTCTGGGTAACTGGAGGCAAGACGACGTGACAGCCCTCTGACGTAGAACAGTCTAAGAAAGCATGAATGAAAGGTCAGTGTGTAGATGGGCCGGGAAATGTAAATATGACCAAATCTTCTTCTGTTCTTGTTAGTGGCTGTAAACTCCGAGTGGAAGCTCTGGTTGTTCAGCTGTCTCTAAACTTTAGTCTTGTTCCAGAACTTGAGCTGTATATGCACATCCGTTTTACAGAGCTGGCTTATTTATGGATCTTTTCCTATTCCCACCCCCTCCGAGCCTGCACGAGAATACCGAGTAACTCAGTGTGCGTGCATATTGGTTTACTCTATGTTATTCTTAACATGATATATTGTGCTTGGCTCCTTATGTTTTATACAACTGTGTGTGAAAGATGATTGTTTGGGCTGAATGGAAGACGGACCTGCATGCTCAAATTATGACCTTTTGAAAGTAAAGCTCCTTGATTCCTTCCTTTAGCTCAACAGTTCTCAATCTTCTGGTCGCGACCATTTTATTGGGTCAAACAACCCTTTCACACGGGTCGCCTAAGACCATTACAAAACACATATTCATTGAAGTTATGAAGTTGCGCCTAAAAGAATTGTATGTTTGGGGCTTGCCACAACATGAAGAACTGTATTAAAGGATCGTGGCATTAGGACGGTTAAGAACCACTGGTGTAGAATGAGGGCCAGATGCTCCCTGGTCAGTCCCCGCAGCCGCGCCAACCGTGTTGACAGTTGCTACAATTAATGTTTAGGCCTGAAGGCAGCAAAATATAACAGATCACGCCGCAGATGACATTACAGCTAAAAGTTAAAGGTTGTATCGGGGTTTATTCAAAATGGCTCGGTCTCTCTCATTAGAGCCGCTAGCGGCCTGAAGAGAACGTTGCACCAAGAACGAACGCCGTAGCTCAGGTGACTACCCAAGAGATTTCAGTGAAAATTACACTCGTTTTGCGACAAACAGGGCACCACAGAGAGCAATGTTATACAGATACAACGGTAACAAACCCAGAGGTCGACCACGCAGAACATGGACCGCAGAAATATCAGAGACACTGAAAAGTACTATATATGAAGCGAACAGAAGGGTCCGTTCTAGAGATCAGTGCCTCCCCTGACGCCGTGAGGCATTCCAGCAGTAGAGAAAAGAAGAAGTAGAATGGAGCCCGTGAACTGAATGACGTAGCCGTGACGTGAACCTACGACCCCCAGTGCGCGAGGCAAACGGCTTATAGTTATCGTAATATTTAGAACAGTCTACAAGTACAAAATGGAAAACTACTGAACGTAAATTTGCCTAGAAAACCCACACGACAGCCAGGGTCTTTTGGGCTTGGTTCTGCAACGTCATGCAAAGGGTACGCAACTAAAATTTTTGTCAGCCCTGTGGCTAACTCGATGCGAACGCTTCGTAATGCCGGGATACCGGGTTCGATCCCAGCTGCGGCCCATGCTCCTTGCGTTGTTTCGACAATGGTATCAAGAAAGCCGACCGTCCAGAAGGCGATGGCAAACTACTGGACTTTAATTTGCCTAGAAAACCCACACAACAGCCAGGGGCTGCTGGGGTTGGTTCTGCAACGTCCTGTAAAGGATACGCAACTAACTTACAAGCATAATATCTAAAGTACTGTAAAGACGAGTCACTGCAGTCGAGCAGATATCGAAAGTACTAACTACAATACAAACTGTGACGAGAAAGATCACAGGAGTCAACGGAAAAGACGCGCATTAACACACAATTGATAAAGACATGATCGAAACGTTCGTTCATACTTAAGTACAACTTTTCGCGCCGTTAAGCTTTCTAGTCACTGTTTGTATGCATAAAACTAAAGGACCGTTGTTCGGGTGTATTAGGTATATAAGGCTACACCTATATTTTATAGACTAATCGGCACTTGGTGGGTGATGTGCAATTTGTGTAGTATTAAGTATTACTAACAAAACATCTAAACCGGGCACACACACACAAAGTCAAGAAAAGTATTTAATAAACGTAGATAGCAACAAACGTACAGCGCGTTGCTCGGTACTGAATGAGTTAAGTACGCAGACATGAAACCTTTCCAAGATTTGTTTCGGCAAATAGCGCCGGTGGGTATTTTGAGATCGCCACTGACGCGGGTCTGTCTGTGACTGGAGCGCTATTAGCTTCGTTTCGGGGGGCGCTAGACGCCACCGCTAGACGTCTGGGCGACTGCGGGTACGGGCTTCTCGGTTCGGTCCCAGCAGTGATTATGTGTGAGTATGAAAGGTGAGAGCCGCTAGAATGTCTGCAACAACAGGTAGAATAGATTCATGTGCGGCGAGGATGGCGTACATTAACATAGTCTATGGGAGGAATAACAAGGTCGTTACGATGTCGTTGTTGGGGGGAAGTCGCCCTGGTGGAGCGGCTAGACGCTCGACTACGGATACGAAGGTCGTGGGTTGAGATCTGAACGGCAGCCGGAATTATTTTTTTTTTAAAAAGACGACCGCCTAGTCGAACCAGCTTTACATGGGCACCATGTGAAACCCTAAAAAGTAGAGGCCACATCACCCACCGAGTTCCCTGATTGGTCTATAAAATGTAATGCCCAATACACCCTAGGACGTCGTTGATGTTAGTAAAATTGGTTGCAATGTCGTTTATTCCTCATATTGTTGTATGTACGATTCTTGTGCTTCCAGTTGTTTTGCAGGGTCAGGTGCTACCCGCTGCGGAAAATATCACCCCCCCCCCCCAACCCTATATTTTTTAATACGTTAAAAACACACAGTTTTTTTTTGCCTTGGGTAGCCCGAACATGTGTGTGTGTGGATAGTTGTCTGTTTTTGTTGTTATTGTTGTTGTTGCTCTAAAAGGCAGTTTTCTTTTCTGCGTTCGCTTTTAAAACGACCATTGGCACATTGTGCCGTGGTTGTCGGCTAGGTTGCAATATCTGCGACTTTCAGCCCACCACATCCGATTTCAGCACACTCCTAATCAGTCGCTTTCTACGACACGCTTGTCATGGTCTGTTCCTTTCTTCCTAAAAGGGGGCCCGGAACCCACTGAGGAAAATGCACATTTTCTTGAGGTTTTTCTACGGTTGGTGAAGATGGTAACAACATTGTGGTGTTAGTATGACGACCTGTGTTCAGATCCGCTGTAATTTCTCTTTATGGGGAAAACAAGAATAGAGCCACTGTTTACACAGACGTATATCGTAGGAGTCGACGGACTGGGAGCTTCCTTCGAAGTCGGAGCTGCTGCCTGGGAGGCAATGAACTAACAGTCTGCACACAAGGAGTCATCATATCTGTAAAACGGATATGCAAGCAACATTCGGGTTCTTGAACATGAGTCCAGAAGTGGACGAAAAACCTATATTTTCCGCCGAATATTGTCATATGATCCTTACAGCTGCCGCTGTTCCATTTCCGACTTTGGAGGCCGAACGTCTCCCAGTCTGTCCAGTATCTTATGTTATGTTATGTTATGTTATGTTATCACAGTCGACGTAACTGTACACTGGGCATTTCCATGAGTGCTCAGTCCTCCAATGCAGCGGCCACTCCAGGGTACCTCTACTAATAGTTTCTTCCCATAAGAAGCTGGTTAGTGTATTATTTTTTTTTATTAACTTCGAAGATGTGTTTCGAAGATGAGTTTCGAAGATGTGTTTCGAAGATGTGTTTCGAAGATGTTTTTCGAAGATATGTTTCATTAAGCTTTACTCCCAGGCCATACAGTCGTGTTAGAGTTAAAGATTCACCCTTAACCCCCAACTTAGTCCGAACAGCATTGATAATATCAACTCTATCCAAACTTCTTTCTGTTTACGTGGATGTTCTACTTGCCAACTGGTAGCTCTTTCATTACCTTTTACTCCTGCATACCCAGATGGGTAGATCAAGATGATGGAGTTGTAACTGCGACTTCCGAATGCATTTTGACCCATTCGGAGGGTACACTACATGTTATGCTTTTCTGAAGCATGTTTATGGAGTCTGAACCAGTTATCGTATGTATGGCTGCTTGTTCTGCTACCCATGCGAGTGCTTGAGAAGCCTGGGTTGTCTCCGTGGTCATGCTTGACATAGTTGTCTAGCATAGCCACCATTACCTTTTATCTGTTGCCCAAAATTGGTGAGGTATATGATCATACTTCTGGGCCACGCCATTTGTGTAGATTTTTTTTGTTCCGGCGGAAAGTCCTGGCTGTTCGTCCATTTGGACTTTGGCTTGGGGGGGGGGGGGATTAAGCCCTTTAGGAAAGTGGAGCGGGAAGGGGTGCCTGGGGGAGTGGGAGAGGTGCTTAAGACTTGATGAAATTGGTAATTATAGTGTCAGTAAAAATAACATTGATAGAATGTGCTGACTGGCAAATAAATATAAGAATATATTTCAAATAATGTAAAATGTATACATTATTACTCAAACCCCCCTCCTCCCACTCCATTTGTTTATACATGGATACAGAGGCCACTTAGCCCCCTTTGCAAATTTTTTAAGGTGGAAAGGGCGTTTAATACACAATTGGGGCGGGGGAAAGGTATTCACAACTAAACCGAGACACAGTATATTTAAATGTCGTTGTGTGAGATAAAGTATGATCTCCCCAGCTCCAGCGACGACCTCCATGAATCTCCGTAGTTAATGCACTGGCAAGTCCGAAACCGAAACCATGACCTTCATTATTTTTTTTCCAATTGGTAATGAATTTATTTCAATAACTGTGCTGGTCTCAAACCGGCTCATTCAACCAGTGCACTTACAGCATTTGTCTAACGAGGGCATCAATCTTGGTGTCCCTGAAACCGTAATCACCACCATCGTTGTAGTGGTTGTACTTGCGGCGCAAACCTCCAGGGGAGAGTTCAGCTTGAATGGCCAGAGGAAGTTGGAGGCATACTTGAAGTTGGGGCCTACAGTCATGATCGCATGGATAAGGTCCTCGACACAAATGATGTCCCTCTTGCCCAGTTCTTTCTTAACAACAGAGTTCTCAGTCAGGGCAATCCTTTGGTGGTTGACCTCTCCGTAGCCTCTCTTGTAGATCAGCTCACGGACTGTCTTCAGGTTGGAGACTCTCCAAGCGACGTATGGCTCCACAATCTTCAGCATGTTCAGTGTTGCCTTGTTGAGTCTGACAAAGACACCGTTGTTGATCTGCCTCAGCCTGAACAGCTGGAGAGCTTTTCTACAGATTGTGATGGCCTAAGTTACAGCTTAGTTTATCCCTAAACCCATCACTGTCCGTGTTATATAATATCTCTTCTAACTTTACTCGCCTGCTTGTGCCGCCTAGAGCAGCAGGCAGAAGATACATGTATCGATGGTCTCAGTGGCGAAGTAATCAAGCCGTTTACCTCGCGATCTAAAGGTCGTGGGTTCGTTTTGTGGCTGGGTCCTTCAGTTACGGAGATTCCTGGGGATCGTCCTCGGAGCTACGGAGCTGGATAAAACCTGATGCAATGAAGTCGATCCTTTCAACGTTAACTCTAACTTCAAAGCGAACAGCTCAGCTACCTTACCACGGAGCTAACCACGGAGACTGTTCAACAAGTGTGACGTGACAAACTGTCACTGTGAATTCTCAAAGACCATGTGCTATGTCACCAGTTTTATACATCCTGGTTAGCGCAGGCCCAAGAGGCAACATTATGTTCCCCGTGTCCGGTGCCAGATTTCGACTTGATGAGGTCATAAGCTAAATAAAGGCCTCTGGACCATTAGAATTTATTAATTAACTAGTCATCCCTTTGTGGGATGCAATCTTTCGTTATTTTGAAGCCCCACCTTAGCTCTTGCGAGGGGCTGCAATAAAGCCCGGCCATAAATATGGTTTACTGGCTGATCGCGGTTTCTGGGACCTCTTCACGGGTGATCCTCATCCAGATGGTGGGACTTTTTGTATTGCTTGTGTGATGTCCTAGTGGGGTAAAATGCACTACTACTACTACTAGAATTTGAAAACAAGTATTCACATCCCAATGTGGGTTGTCGGCGTCTGTGGTTTAGGCGTTGAGAACGCGCTTCGTAATGTCGGGTTATCGTGTTCGATCCCAGCTGCGGTAGGTTTGTCTTGATTAGGTTTCGACAGAGGTACCAAGAGCTGACCCTTCAGTAAGCAGTGGCAAACTAATGAACGTAAAATGTGACTACTAAAACCACAACAGCTAAAAAAGATGCTAGAGCCGGTGTTCTGCAATGTCATGTAAAGGATACTCAAAATAACTTTTGACCAATGTGAAATGCAAATTTTCATTGTTTTAAAGTGGGGGGGGGGGTTGGGGGGGGGGGGGGTGGGGGGGGGGGGGGGGGGGGGGGGGGTGGGGGGGGGGGGGGGGGGGGGGGGGGGGGGGGGGGGGGGGGGGGGGGGGGGGGGGGGGGGGGGGGGGGGAGGGGTCTAATATAATCTAACGGTTGAACGGGGTTTCTAGGATTGGGGTGCCTCATCCAAATGGTCGCACTTTGTGTTACCAGGTGTTGTTCGCTTGTTGTACAGTCCGGGGGGGGGGGGGGGGGGGGGGGGGAAGGGAGCTTGAACGACGCACACTTGTCCATATCAGACAACTTGAAAATACATCAGTTAAAATGTAGATATTGACGCATATAAAGCTGCCTATTTTATTCAATTTAAATAGGTTACAGCAAGTTAGAGGGAGTGATGGTGGCGTAGCGGTTAGACGCTCATCTGCGGATCGGAAGGTCGTGGGTTCGATCCCTAGCGGTGCCAGACTTTTTTTCAAAAATGACCTTGGCTTCCAGGTCGACCCAGCCTTCAATGGGTACCAGGTGCAGTCCTGGGAAGTAAAGGCGGCCGGTGTGATGCTGACCATATTACCCATCATGTGCCGTTGGTCTATAAAATTTAGGCCTAGCCCTTTATACCCAAATACGCCTGAAAGGCGTGGAAAAGGGCCCTTTACTGTTACTTTACAGCAAGTTAGAATAAAAAAATGCCTAAGATAATACACCCCTAAATAATTATAGGATTTTTTTTTAATTTATGGGCAATTAGTTTGTTTGTTTGTTAAATATATTAACAGAAATTTCACCTGTTAAAAGAAAAGATTGTGATGGCCTAAGCTAAAGCTTAGTTAGCTTATGCCTAAACCCATCATTGCCCGTGTTATATAATATCTCTTCTAACTTTACGCGCCTGCTTGTGCCGCCAAGAGCTGCCGACAGAAGATACATTTACCCATTACCCAATCATGGCGCCGTTCATTGCCAAGTCTGGAACTATACGGGAAATTACGTGGCGAGACTGTGTGGCATAATAAACCCTGGCGAGAACAATATACGGAGAGGACAAAGTCGTCTTTAAGGACATATGCAAGGGGTTTAGAACACTGTTTCCCAGTCTTTGTGTGTGTGTGTGTGTGTGTGTGTGTGTGTGTGTGTGTGTGTGTGCCATGCTCCACTTAAACCTTTCTAAAATTCCTGTAATCCCCTTTTCGAATTACTCCCCCCCCCCCCCCCCCAATACACACACATGTTTTTAACAATGAAATTGAACCCCCACCGACCCCTTTCCCTTTTTTTTAAAACAATCAAATCGACCCTTTAACAACCAAACTGTTGTATTTCACAATTAATTGACCCCTTAACAATCAAATTGACTCCTTAACAATCAAACAGCCGCTCTTAAACAACTAAATTATTTCTCTTAACAATCAAATTGCCTCCTTAACAACCAAATTGTTTCCCTTAATAATAAAATTGTCCCCTTTAACAACTGAATTATTTCCCTTAAAAATAATTCCCCCCCCCCTTATTTTAACAACCAGATTGTTTCCCTTAACAATCAAATAGCCCCCTTAACAACCAAATTATTTCACTTAACAATCAAATTGCCCCCTTAATCAAATTACCCCTTTTAACAACCAAATTGTTTCCCTTAACAATCAAATTGATCCCTTTAACAACCAAATTGTTTTCCTTAACAATCAAATTGCTCCACGTTGGGGAAACCCTGGTGTAGAATTCGTCTTCTATGTTTACGTTTTAGATGACGGATCAACATCATGGCACATGGGCAGTAACCCATAAGTGCTCCGTCCTACTTCTGACTCAAGTCCGACCAATCTCCGCGTAGTGCACGAACTCCGAACTCATGCAGGCTTTTCAGACATCTTATTTCTATGGTTACTTAAGGTTTTGTTTTGTGTTTGTTTTATTCTGGGAGAGGGTAATCATATCCGACAATGGTAGCATGGGTATAAAGCGTTAATTATAGGTCGTATTTAAATCTAAAGGACCTATAGTAGGAGCTGGAGAAGTCTAGAGGAGTCGATGCCTTTTATTTAGTAGGAGGAGCCAGGAGATTTCAAGATGACAGCGTACGGGTTGAGTAAGGGTTCTAGTCGTCAGTGTATATGGTGTTATTACTTTCATATATAAAAAAATATATCGAGAAGTAATAATTTTCAGCTTATTAATTCGGCTTTCTGTTGATTAGTAATGGTCATTGGGGTGGTCACGGTATACAGGGCATGACTTATTTGAGGAAAATAGGTCAAATAGGGCCTCTGGTGGTATGATTCGTATATAGCTCCCCTATATAAAGCGCCCCAAAGTATATTATCACTGCTGCACCTAACAAGTATATTCTTTCGTCCCTTCCCCTAGTTTTTTTACACTATGAAAAGTCATACCTTTATACCCTGATCACTACAATGAACCACTTCTGGCCATATATACATATATCTTGAATAGTGGCTTAGAAAAGACGGCGATGGAGGGTGCTGTTGTGTAAAGCGAGGCAGGGGTCGACCACCGCGAAGATGGATACAGAACATTGAAGAAACATTGGCACTTGGCACTGGAGAGCTGGTTAGGAAAAGGGATACTTTCAGGCGTGCCGTGAAGAGAGCGACGTTCTGTAATGGACATGCTGACTGATGAAAGATCTTGAACATGACCACTGACCATCGTCTAACAAGCCGATTATGTGAAAGTTTTATATATATATATATATATATATATATATTATATATATATATATATATATGTATATATATATATATATATATATATATATATGTGTGTGTGTGTGTGTGTGTGTGTGTGTGTGTGTGTGTTGGGTGTAGTTGAGTCAATAATTGACATCACAGCACTCGGGGCATTCCCGCTCGGTCCTCATCCTCAGCAGCCAGCGCAGAGTTCCAATACTAATAATGCCGGTCGTGGTCTGGTTGTTTGTCTGTCTTGCCTAACCTCTGAGCGTAGTGTGCCAGCCGAACCCTCTGGTCACTCCCATGTACATCATTCGCTCCAGCCTACAATAATCTAGTTTCTCTTCTGACTTCTGACACACACACACACACACACACACACACACACACACACACACACACACACACATACCTTGACCACTACTGACCGTCAACTAACAAGTATATTTTTCATTGTTGCCCCGACTTTGTTACTAAATAAAAAGTCATAGATATATACCTGGATACTACCTGTGACCACTACTGCCATTGTCTAACAAGTCAAAATTTATATTCTGTTTTGTAATAGCCTTTCAGGTCCTTATTTTTCGCTCTTCCGTTTCTAGGCGACCTAGCTGTTCGTTAATGGTTTTGATGTTTTTGTGGTTGTTAAAGACTGCTACAAACGTTCGGGTGTATTCGTGTACGTCTGCTCCTTGCCTTCGTTTTTTTCCCCTCTTCCCTTCTCTTTCTATCATGTCTCCCGTTTCTTTTACTCTGAAAACATGCTGAGAAAGGTGAAGACAGGGACGCTTTGAGCAGAGTGGCAAGCTTCATTGGTAAGGTACCGGGTAGTGACCATACTTTGGATCTTTTCTCCAGGCCATGCCAGCTAGTGGGTAATGAACAGGCAGACAGATTGGCTGGATCTGCACCACTGGGTGGTGAATTGATACATGAAAAGGCTGATATGGTTAAGGCCCTTTAAGAATAAGCAACGGAGTCAGTAAAGGAAGAAGATTATTATGGCCTGGAGAGAATGAGGCACCTGGCTGTAACCAAAGGGTCTGGCCAGCTCACTACACTCAGAGGAAAGGCAAGACGGACATATAACCAGATTATGTCCAGTACCATCAGCATTGTAACTGCGCTTTCTGCTGAAGATGAGGACGGAGCATGCATAGGAATGCCCTGAGTGCCGTGATGTCATTTCTTGACTCTACTCAACCCAACTCCCGTTTCTTTTCTACCCAGTTCTTTTTTCTTTTTCTAATTTTATTTTTTCTGTTTATAACTCTCTTCTCATCAATTCTTAATTCCCTCTGTTTATTCTTCACATTCCATCTCTTTTTTTTTCCACTCTCACATCCCTCTTTATGTCCTCTCCTTTCTTCTTTTGCTATCACATTTTCGTCTCTTTCCATCCTTACGTTACTCCAATATTTTGTAAAATCATTTCTTCTTTCCTCTTTCTATTGTTTCTTCTCTTCTCTTTGCTCTTTCCACTGCTTTCTGTCTTCTCCTAACATCTTCTTAATAGCCTTTTTACCTTTTTTTTGTTTTTTGTTTTGTTTTTTAGCCTTTGTTTCCTTTTACTCTCTATTCCTGCCCCCTCCCCTCTCTTTGTCCTATCCGCTATTCCCAATCATTTTCTATCTTCTTTTCTCTTCTGCCCTTTCATCATTCTTTCTCCATGTTTTCTAGATCGATATATCTTCTGTTTTCCATTTTCACTTCCCATTTTTTACCACTCTATCAATATCTAATGCAACACAGACATATAAACAAAGACAAATGCAAAATAAGAATAAAGTGGGTAAAATATTCAATGAGGTAGTTTAATGCCAGCCAAATAAAAATAAACAAAATGACAGCTGTGTGTGAGATACGTACAGCGGAACATGAACAGCCATACTAACATCCTTTGATCAACAACGGGAGAAGCAACACTAGTGGTTTTGTTCTTTGTCCATTGAAAATTGGCGGCGCGTGGGTAGTGACTGTAATTGTCATACTTCTCAATCGCTCTTCATGAAAGAAAGAAAGAAAGAAAGAAAGAAAGGAAAGAAAAAACGAAAGAAAAGAAAAGAAGAAAAGAAAAGAAAGAAAGAAAGAAAAAGAAAGAAAAGAAAGAAAGAAAGATAAAGAGTTAAAGAGAAGAAGAGAAGAAAGATAGAAAGGAATTAAGAAAGTTAGTAAAATAGAGGTAAGAAAGAGTAAAGCGAGAAGTGAGAGAGAAGAATGAAAAGGAATGGAGAAAGTGGAAGAATAGAAAAAAGGAAAGAAGCAGTGAGCCCAAATGTGAAACGTAGATTGTTAGAGGTAAGAGATTAAGATAGAGAAAGATGAAACACTCTTATTTTATTCAAACATGAAAGAAAGAAAGAAAGAAAGAAAGAAAGAAAGAAAGAAAGAAAGAAAGAAAGAAAGAAAGAAAGAAAGAAAGAAAGAAAGAAAGAAAGAAAGAAAGAAAGAAAGAAAGAAAGAAAGAAAGAAAGAAAGAAAGAAAGAAAGAAAGAAAGAAAGAAAGAAAGAAAGAAAGAAAGAAAGAAAGAAAGAAAGAAAGAAAGAAAGAAAGAAAGAAAGAAAGAAAGAAAGAAAGAAAGAAAGAAAGAAAGAAAATTAGAAACAGAGAACCTTTTCCCACACCTTGTGACATATGCCTTGCTACCTCCATGGACCAAACGGCACTTGAAGGATGAGGTGGTCGGTGAATTTCCAACTAACTCTAATTCCCAACACTATTTCATCATCCTTTTAGGCTGGAACCGGACTTTTTCAAAAATGACCTTGGCTTCCAGATCGACTCAGCCTTGAGTGGGTACCGGGTGCAGTCCCGGGAAGTAAAGGCGGCCGGCGTGATGCTGACCACATCACCCATCATGTGCCGATTGGTCTATAAAATATAGGTCTAGCCCTATGTGCCCTATACGCCTAAAGGCGAGAAGAATGGTCCTTTACTTTTTGTTAAAAACTTAATTATAGGTTGTCTGTGGCTTAGGAGCTGCGAACGCGCTTCGTAACGCTGGGGTGCCGGGTTGGATCCCAGCTGCGGACCTTTCGACAGTGATATTGAGAAGTTTACCATCCAGAAAAAAAGGGCAAACTACTGGATGTCAAATTGCCTAGAAAAACCACAACAGCCAAAGAAATGTAGTTGTTGGTTCTGCAACGTCGTGTAAAGGATACGCAACTAACTTTTTAAATTATAGGCTGGGTCGAGGTGGTGAGGATTTAGACATAATATCATCACCAGCTTGGGATGTGAATGCGCTAGCTACGGCAGGTCTAACAATGCACCTTCCCCCCCCCCCCCCCCACGCGCTAACAGGTAAGTATTGCTTCAAATTTACCAGCATTGCTTACTTGCTCCCAAAGAGTTATGGCCACAGGTAGCTTGACATATATCAGTTCAACACCAAATAGTGCATCATCAGCCAGTCTGTATTTTGTTCGTTTCTCAGCACACCTGCATATCCGGAGAAAAGAGCCAAATGACGCTAACTACTGGGGACCTCTGAGACGAAGCTTGCCTCTCTGCACAGCGCATGCTTGCCTCTACTGTTCTCAGCAACAAGAACAAAACCCATGCTACTAAGGTTAGTCATCATCATCATCATGTAGCAGGTTATTTTCAGAACGTCGCTCTCATCACAGTCTGCCTGAAAGAAACTTGGTCGGCCTCAGCCCCTCCTTCCTGGTACTATGCCTTCTGCTATAATTTTTTCCAATTCGTCGTGGCGCTTGATATGACCAAAATATTTCAGCTTCCGCGATAGGATGCTGTTTATTAGCCAGTCTTCCTTGATGTTCAGATCTTTAAAGATGTCAGTATTTCTCCTCCCCTCTCCTCTGTCCAAAATATTCAGAGAATGTTTCTATAACATTTTATCTAAAAAAAAACCTTTCTCTTTTTTAAGGACCTGGAGATAGTCCACGACCCACATCCGTATGTTGCTACAGGAAAGATGCATGCTCTCAAAATTCTAATTTTGATCTCCTTGCTAGTGCTTAACTAAGATAAGTATCGATGAAAAATATCCTGAACTAGCAAACAGTTGGGGGAGCAGAGAATAGAGGACAAAAGGCAATATTTAAATGTAAAGCAGAAAGTAGGGGCCGTGGAAATACAATAGCTAGAGGCTTGCTTGAAAGTCCGAGGTTCCTGTGTTCAAATCTGCACTAGGAGGGATTTTCATCCTTGACTTTGGCCTCTAGGTCGACCCAACCTAAAATGGCCACAATGATATGTCTAGAATGTCAAGGCCGGCAGTGTGCTGTTGCCCTTATCGATCAACGTGTGCCTGTTGGTCTTATACAAATATGAGTCTATACAATACGACGCGCCACCGCTATGGAAATGGTCCTTTACTGCGCCCAATAAACTTCAGACGGCGGAGGGATACAGTATGTCTGGTCCTGAAGCTAACAAATTACATATGGGAAAAAAAGGGGGGGGGGGGGGGTTGTGGGCGGGCGTCCGGTTTGTATCAAATAAGCCACAGAGAAAGGGGGAAATGTCTAGCTGTGGATAAACAACATAGCATAGCATAGAGCGACTAGGAAAATGTTCATAGCTGCATCAATTGAACCACATATGGGGAGGTTGAATATGTGGAGTCCTGCAGCAGACGAACTGCCTGTGGGGCAGGCAGACATGTTCAGTGGTCTAGAGATATAACATATTAATTCCTTGTAGCAACCGACTAGAGACAACAACAAAAGGGGTGGGGGCTGTCAGAATATGTACTCGGACAGCATTTCTATTATTGTATGAGACAGTACAACAAATAACAAATAGGGAAGAGGAAGAACAGGAGTGGTAGAGGCAATGTGAGCAGTAACAAAGGCAGTAGCAGCAGGGTAAGAAGGATGAGAAGAAGAAGAAGAAGAAGAAGAAGAAGAAGAAGAAGAAGAAGAAGAAGAAGAAGAAGAAGAAGAAGAAGAAGAAGAAGAAAAGGCGATTCATAAAAAATAAAACAATAACAAATACAATCATAACAAGCATAATTAATCCTGCCCTGTTTTATATGTTGTTATTTCATGATTGCGATCTGCTCTGTATAAACCATTTTTTTCCAGCAATTAATATATACAAAACAATTCAGTTGAAAGTTCATCAAGGTAAACCCATCTACAATAACTACTGCATCAGAGACAATAAGGACGGTACAAGCACGAGATGCAGCATACGGTGCTGACTCAATCATCGCCTAAAATATAGTACTAGTTTATTTAGTATGGCAGTGAATCACCCGCACCGCTCTTCCTCACACAAGGAGAAAAATAAAGTCGTCTTTGAAAAGTTTCACTTCTGCTAAAGTTGTCCATGCCAATCGTGTTTACGTCTTAGAAAAACAAAAACACAAAATCAATCACTGCTTTTTTTTTCGAAGTGTTGATGTCCAGAATATTACTCACAGTGAAAACAATATTGCAAGTTAATCGTATGAGCAGCATGTGGCGGAGCGGCGACAATGTCCATCTGGCGCAGCATAGAATGTATGTTTGTATGGCAGCATACATACACAGGTTAAAACTTGGTCTTTATTCCTCGCTCCGTAAACACGGGTTCCGGTATACACCGGTAGTGGTCGTGTTTCTGCCATGAACGTTAAACATACCATATGTACGCTATTGCGCAGCTGCAGGATTTGTTGAGAAGTCAATGTCTTTTTAGAAGCAGTGAGGTAGATATGGAAATACCAAGAGGGACGTACGCCAGCGCTATTGGAACCCCGTTTACTGAACATTTCTAAAGTATACGTTGTCATGATTTCAGCAAAGAGGTGCAGAATCTTCTGTACATATCATAGGATTGAATATACTTCTATCCCACAACTAAATGACAACAGTGGGATTGATCTGACGCTTACAAGTCTTCGTATATTCAACGTCGTTAATGTTTATTACGATTTCATGGTTTGGACCAACGCTGCAGAAGCTGTGGTATAGCAGAATTAACTATTCAGCAACTGAATTATAGCATAGGGCCTTATGTCTGTGGCTTACAGGTCTTCGTATTTTCAACATTGTCAATGTCTATTACGTCAACATGGTACTCAGGTTAAGCAAGACGTCGAGACTTTATTTACTTCTACGATCCTACAAATGACCGACACTGTGGCAGGTTCTTAATTATTCAGTCTCCCACGCTCAGTGTATCGTCATAGGTTGGTTTCAGCTCAGACGGCGGAAAAAACCCTGCTCCACCACCTTTCAATGACAGGCATCTTTTTTTTCAGGCAGAATTCAGCTTTACCGCTAGAAGGTAATGTCTGACTAGCTACAGGCGTTAGGATCTGCATGTTTATCACAGGTTCATGCTTTAGAGCAACAAATAAGGCAGTGGGTGTCAGGAAACAACAGTTCAATGCATAGACTGCATACGCGAGTCTCATTCTGAGATTAGCGATAATCAAAGAAATACTTTCAACCGGCTCTGATGAGTTCACGAAAGTGTCTGCCCTTTCCAACTTTGAAGCTACTAGCAGGAGCATGTACATTCTGTAATGATCGGATATTGAATGGGGATCCACTTGCAGGCGCTCTTCTCTTGGAAGTCCCCGCAGTGCCAGCGTAGAAACGTTTTACTGGCAGATGTTCTTGGCTTGCACATCATGCCTTCGGGTATGGAGCAGGAGTGTTTGTTGGAGCATGTACCTTCCTTGATCCACTGTGGCCAGAAACGAATGCCCAAAAACTTCCACGAATGCTGCACGGGACAAAACGTCAAACTCCAAATGTATTTCTGGAATTTTCTGCGTTCTTTCTTGTTAACGTTCAGTTTGATTTTTCTACCATCTTGAAGTCGCGCTGATCGAAGAAGACTCAGAAATGATGGTCGTGGACCTTTAGGGCGATCATTAATGAACTGTATTAGTGGTTTCTTGCTAGGTCTATTTCTTGGATCCCTAATAGACATGTACTCTTTGTCAAATGCCGCTCCCAGCTGCTGACGCAGAAGCTTCACATTGATGTCACTTGGCCTAGGGTCATAGATTTCGCTTTGGTTCTCTAGAAGGTCTTCAATAGGCAAATGATCAGAAGGGGATGGTCGCCGGCTGCCGTTGAGAGGATGGACAGTTGCCTCAGAGCCGTCAATCTGTAGGAAATGGAAATACATATCTGGAGGTTCGGTTCCTGTCGAGTTGGTGGCAAACACGAATGTGATGAGAAGAAACGCTGTTAGCATGGCGATGTCCGTAGAATAGTTCTCTGGAGAAAGACACAAAGATTTAAAGTATTAAAATTGTGAGTACTTGTTGACAGTTAGCTTATAAATCGGACGAATTATACTACACCAATGATTACACTAGAGTTAATGAAACAACAATACATAAAACAATCAAACGTATGTAATACGCACTGATCAATCAATTAATCAGCATGTTCGTTATAGAACGTCGCTTTCCTCACCGCTTGGCTGAAAATCTCTTGTTCTCTAACCAATTTTCCAGCAATGGGTGCCTTCATAACCACTGCGTCTTCAATGTTCTTTATCCACATCGCGAAAGTCAGCCCCTGCCTCGTTTTCTGGAAACTGTACTCTCTATCACAATTCTCTCAAGACCACCATGTTGACATGTATGAATTACCTCAGCTTTCAGGAAAAGAATCTAGATCATCTTACCATTACACGATTGCCAGTATTTGGACAGAGAGAGAGAGAGAGAGAGAGAGAGAGAGAGAGAGAGACAGAGAGAGAGAGAGAGATGGAATGGTGGGGGGGGGGATACTAGTCAACAGGAGCGACCATAAAAGACTAGCTTTATGACACCTGTAAAGACCTTATGCACGCCCATCCCATTTGCGACCCATTTTGGAATAAATGCATAACAAACGTTGATAACCTCAGTCATTACTGGTCCCAAGCCCGGATGAAAAAGGAGCAGGGCTTGAAGTGAAGCCAGCTATACCCCCACATTATTAGAACATTTTGCAACATTAACAGGCGGAAAATCATTTGTTATGTTATGTTATGTTGTTATCCTAGTCGACGTCACGGCACATTGGGCATTCCCGTGCGTGCTCAGTACTCCAATGCAGCAGCCACTACTGATGACTAGATTGTAAACTCTTTGTGATGTATGTACGACACAACAGCAAGATGATGGTGATGATGTCCTTAATGATGAACGTTAATCGCAGGAGAAAAAATACTGCAAGGAGGGTATGGCTTGCGTTAGTATATTAACGTGCAGTCTACCTGCTGGCAAAAAAAAGGGGGGGGGAAGGGGGTGGGTATGTGCTGTTCATCACACGATTTCTGTTATATATACATGAGGCAAAGGAGAAAGAAACTGTCCCACACCCTTCTTCAGTAACCAATGAAGGGCTGACATGCAAATTTTTTTTTTAAGTGTTTATTGTTCAAATATATATTTGTACAAACAAAAGCAAAATCAATAAAATGATCTGAATAAAATGATGATGGTCTGTACCGTTTCTCACTAACATTTAAACAGAGAGTAGAGACAGTGGGAGGCAGAAAGGACCGGGCGGTTCGGAGGAAAGCTGGGGTTGTTGGGTCTGTCAGCGGAAAAGGTACGTTTCGATGGTGATGTTTGAAACATGTAAATTCTTTTTACAACAGAGTGAAAGAGAGAAAGGGTAAAAGAGAGAAAGGGGAAAGAAGGGTGGCACGAAAACTTAGGCGGACAGGGGAAAAGAAAAGAAGAAATAGAAAGGGTCACTCATTTTGGTTTACATATTTTGCATACATGGAATTAAAATATCAAACAAAAAGTGAAAGCAAGTACCATTCTACCAGTCTCTTTTGGAACCCTCCTAGGACATCGCACAAGCGATAAACACCCGATGACACCGAGGTGCCACCGTACGGGTGAGGATCGCCCGTGACATGCTAATAATACCAGTTGCAACCATAAAAGTCCGCCTGTATTTCCCGTTTAATTTTGAATATTTTCCAGAACTTCCGCACACTCCTTGTTGAATTAGCTTTCTCAAATTTTGGTTTGCGACCATTTTTTTTCACAGGTGTCGCCTAAGAGGGGTTGCCTAAGACCATCGGAAAACACATTTTCACTGGAGTTATAAAGAAGTAAAGAAAATAATTGTATGTTTGTGGGTCACCACAACATGAGGAACTGTATTAAAAGGTCGCGGCATTAGTAATGTTAAGAGCCACTGCCACAGAGCCTTCACATCCGATTTATCAAATAGTAGCTCTCTGTCCAGAGGAACGGCAGCAGATATTCAATCAGCCTGCTCGTTACCTCGCAAACCTGAATAGCTGGGCAGAAGATCCAAGCTGGTCTCGATCTGGGTCTTATCATGTTATTCAGAGAAAAAGAATACAGACCGGTTAAAAGCTGAGCGTGTGATTTGAAACATGTCCAGTGAAATGGTCCTGAATAGCTCAATGGACGACTCACTGTGGAGTTGTCTTTGACTGCTGGATTTATCGACTTTTAACTTTATCTCGATTTATCATATTTTAGGGGGTATATGATGAAAAGGGGAGAGGGGGCGTTCGATCCGCAGCCTTATTGTTAAAGATTTGGGTCCATCTGGGTCTTTTCAAGTGATTCAGAGAAAAAGAATACGGACCGGTTAAAAGCTGAGCGTGTGATTTGAAACATGTCCAGTGAAATGGTCCTGAATAGCTCAGTGGACGACTCACTGTGGAGTTGTCTTTCTTGACTGCTGGATTTATCGACTTTTAACTTTATCTCGATTTATCATATTTTAGGGCGTATATGATGAAAGGAGGGGGGGGGGGGGGAAGGGGCGTTCGATCCGCAGCCTTATTCTTAAAGATTCTTGTTAAGATGAGCGGGTCTTGCTAGTCACACTTGTCATCCAAGTGGGCTGTAATTCCCATGCTTTCTTATAGCACCTCTTTCTTTTGTCAAAATCTGCTTGTGCCGCTAGGCGTCGCAGTCTATCAGATGATCGGCAACCGAGCCAGGGCGCGCTCAGTCGCTTCATATGCCGTGATGTTGTGAAGTCTCAAGTTGTCCGTGACTCCTTCAATCCATCTTCTTCTTGGTCTTCCCCTGCCTCTTGTTGTTTCGATTTTCATGTTGTATGCTCTTGATGCTGGCATCGTTGGTTCCATTCTCATTAGGTGACCAAAGTCTTATAGCACCGACAGGTAATATTAATTTTAAACTGATTTCTTGAGATTTGTGACAATGCCGTAACTGGAAGTCTTAACTTATTTCACTTTGTCCCTCTTCTTCTTCTTCTTCTTCTTCTTCTTCTTCTTCTTCTTCTTCTTCTTCTTCTTCTTCTTCCAAGTGTTTACCGGCTGTACCATCTGGCGGAAAGTTCTGGTTGTTCGGAAAGTTCTGGTGGTTCGACCACTTCTCGAATTTGGTTTTGTTTTAGATCTTGAGTTTTGTGTGCACATCTATTTCACAGATCTAGCTTATCTGTATACAGACTGTTGGCCTTTGGTCTCTCAGGCAGATGCACTCGGACGCTCTTTCACTCTAACTTTCCTGTGGTCACGAAGTACTCAAGTCATTCCCTTCTCCCTATCTGACCCAAGAAGTGCAGGAATTATAAAAACGAAATAGTCGCATTTATCAAATTCACCTGTCTGTATTTATAGAACAAAAACATGGTGCGATACTAAAATGCATTTCGCTAGCTCCTAATTTTAATGCAACCTTTCAGCCATTGAATTCCAGAAGGAAAAAAAACAAACCAAACACAAACATTAATTTTCTCAGCCTGCAGCAGTTTCTCAGTCAAGTTTTACTGATTCCTCTCAACGCGTAAAAATGTTGAACATACAATGGGAGAATTCAAGAGGGTGAAGAAAAAAGAGAAATGTCCGAGGAACCACTGGTAACCACAGTTACAAGACAAAGAAGACAGCGCGAAGACATTATGATATTATCCTAACTGGCAAAAATGGGCACTAAAGCGGCTGAAGAGGCGAGGACGTCTAATCGATGATATCGAAGGGATGCACAGGATTGAAGGAAATTGAGGCACATACTGCCAGCCGTATGTGGCATATATTGTTAGTGTTCTTCCATCACACGTAATGAGTACCACTCTTTCTTTTATCCATCATGAAACTACAGCTGAGTTATGTGAGTCCGGAGGTGACTTACAGCTGAGTTCTGTGAGTCCAGAGGTGACTTACAGCTAAGTTCTGTGAGTCCGGAGGTGACTTACAGCTGAGTTCTGTGAGTCCGGAGGTGACTTACAGCTAAGTTCTGTGAGTCCGGAGGTGACTTACAGCTGAGCTCTGTGAGCTAGGAGGTGACTTACAGCTAATTTTTGTGAGTCCGGAGGTGACTTACAGCTGAGTTCTGTGAGCTAGGAGGTGACTTACAGCTGAGTTCTGTGAGTCCGGAGGTGACTTACAGCTGAGTTCTGTGAGTCCGGAGTTGACTTACAGCTGAGTTCTGTGAGTCCGGAGGATACTTACAGATGAGTTCTGTGAGTCCGGAGGTGACTTACAGCTGAGTACTGTGAGTCCGGAGGTGACTTACAGCTGAGTACTGTGAGTCTAGAGGTGACTTACAGCTGTGTTCTGTGAGTCCGGAGGTGACTTACAGCTGAGTTCTGTGAGTCCGGAGTTGACTTACAGCTAAGTTCTGTGAGTCCGGAGGTGACTTACAGCTGAGTTCTGTGAGTCCGGAGGTGACTTACAGCTAAGTTCTGTGAGTCCGGAGGTGACTTACAGCTGAGCTCTGTGAGCTAGGAGGTGACTTACAGCTAATTTTTGTGAGTCCGGAGGTGACTTACAGCTGAGTTCTGTGAGCTAGGAGGTGACTTACAGCTGAGTTCTGTGAGTCCGGAGGTGACTTACAGCTGAGTTCTGTGAGTCCGGAGTTGACTTACAGCTGAGTTCTGTGAGTCCGGAGGTGACTTACAGATGAGTTCTGTGAGTCCGGAGGTGACTTACAGCTGAGTACTGTGAGTCCGGAGGTGACTTACAGCTGAGTACTGTGAGTCTAGAGGTGACTTACAGCTGTGTTCTGTGAGTCCGGAGGTGACTTACAGCTGAGTTCTGTGAGTCCGGAGTTGACTTACAGCTGAGTTCTGTGAGTCCGGAGGTGACTTACAGCTGAGTACTGTGAGTCCAGAGGTGACTTACAGCTGAGTACTGTGAGTCCAGAGGTGACTTACAGCTGTGTTCTGTGAGTCCAGAGGTGACTTACAGCTGTGTTCTGTGAGTCCGGAGGTGACTTACAGCTGAGTACTGTG